GAAAGTTAAAGGAATATCTCAAATGTACAAAAAACGGGCGGAAAGAAAATCAATAACTTGTCTATCATTTATGACGTAGCATAAAATAATAGACAAGTTATTGCTATTTGTAGAAGTCGTTGTTCTTTTAGTAAAAACAGTTGACATTATTTTTTTGTAAAAGTAGTAGACGTTTTTTTTTGTAACAAAAACGTTGCAATCAATTACTGCATAGTAATGGTGTGTATGTATCACTAGAGTGAGGCAGAATTTTACCGTAACTCCTAACTCGGTACTTTCATTAATTATGGAGTGTTAATTACAAGAGCAATAAGTGAATACATGTCGCTACAACAGATGCTCTCGTATGCGCGCAAGCGCAATAAAACAGTTTGGAATAAATTTGAAATAACAAATTGTGAACCAATTAATGAATGTAAACGAATAAAGTTATCAAATATAAACTTGTCATACTTCGAGACTGCGAATGCAGTTATAACATTGTTAGTTCAGCACAGCCAAGTTTCCAAGAAAAACAATCAAAACAATGACAGCAGAATTCTGTTAGTCGTGTTATTTTTCTCTGCGGAGCGCAACGCTCAACTTTTGTCCCGAGCGAAGTAGGAATACAGACACAAAATGACTAGCCTTCCGTCCAACTCAACGGCTGATGTCAATTAACAAAGACATATTTGGGCTTATACAGACATACAACGACTAGAATTCTTAAAACTCAGCGACTAAATAAAGACAAATGCAAAAATATAACGACTAGTCTTTCTTCCAACTCAACGACTTTTGTTAGGATATAAATAAAGTCACAACACAGACAGACATACAACGACTTTCCACGACCGCAATTCGGCGACTAATGCCAGGTTATAATCTAATGCAGGCAGATCTAAATCATCCACTGAAAGCCTATTCTTATTGCTGTACAATAACCTGCCTACCGAACCACTAGTATTTTCATGGTATTGGAAAGATCATTCAATCTTTTTCAAATCTTCAATTTAAAGGCATGATGAACAGACAGAATTTTACATTCAGGTGAAAGAAATCTTAAAAAGAATTACTAAATACTCATCAATTCGTAATATTCAAAATTAGTAAGTAACGAATCCCTATGGCAATAATGAACGACGGTAAGAACTTTTTATGCTCAGAAATATGAATTGTCACATAGTCTAATTAGTGACACACTTTCTGCGCGGAGAATTGATACGCCCCTATAGCAGGTTAAACAGGGTCAGAATGGCACATGGTGGGCTAAAAATATTCCGCCATTTATGCAACGTCCTGCTCATTTCTCTCTGTGTGCATTTATCGCTCGTGAACAACTATACTTTGCGATCGTCAATCGTGAGCACAATTGCCATTTTCCTGCGATGTACAGAGGAAATCAGCAGCGAGCCCCATTTTGGGACAGTGTTTTATTGTTGTTAGTTTTTACAAGACTTTGGGACGGACATCGAGATTTATTGCCAAGTAACTCGTAGAATGTTTCGAATGTGTTGCGATACACATTCGATACACACGCCTGCCGGATCTCGAGGAGCAAGTTTCAGAAACATATTATTGAACTTGGGCTCATATAAAACAATGTAATTTTAACGAACTTAATAACCATTTCTGGGCACGATTACTCTTTCCTAATTGTGCAGCAACGGTTCAGGGGCTGCCGGACATCTTCGCTGAACAGCTGCAATTTTAAGGAATAATTCTATTAGAGCGACGTACGAAAATGTTACAGTGACTGCAATTGTACACGGCATATACTGACAGATGGGCATGATGAAGAAAAAAATGAACATGATAAATAACAATCCTAAGCAGATAGCCGGCCGTAAGCATATACACATCGAGGTCAATATGGCGACCCTCTGCATCATATAACCAATATTTAACACATGCAGGTCTATAGATTCCGTTTAGCTGGGTATCAAGGCCAGGCTATGCCTTTAATATATTGGAAGCAGCTTTAGTCACTAAGTAGCCATCTCTGTAAATTAATCGTGACCGTTTTTATGATTGAGAACGATCAGCAGATCTTAGTCTCTCGATAATTGGGCGATTTCTTTTAATCGATGGGTGGTCTTTGACTATCAATCTTTTTCTCTTGCTAATAACTGCAAATTATTCAGCGAAAATTCAGTTAATTCTTGCCATCACCATGAACGACGGAGATGGTTTGCACGCGATGATGTTCCTGAATGAAATGAATCCAATATAGGCGCCTATATCTGCAAAGAATTTCAGTCTATTTATGCACCAGAATATCTGTGGACGAAGTGAACAGCAGTAGAGGAAGTGAACATGAGTAGAGGAAGTGAATATGAATAGAGGAAGTGAATATGAGTAGAGGAAGTGAATATCAGCAGAGGAAGTGAATATCAGCAGAGGAAGTGAATATCAGCAGAGGAAGTGAATATCAGCAGAGGAAGTGAATATCAGCAGAGGAAGTGAATCAGCTGTCTCTTATACACATCTAGATGTGTATAAGAGCAAGCCTGTAGCCTCACACCGAGCCTGTAGCCTCACGCCGAGCCTGTAGCCTCACACCGAGCCTGTAGCCTCACACAGAACCTGTAGCCTAAACTGAGCCTGTAGCCTCAATTAATTCTTCTTTTGATAAACTGAGACCAAAAATTTTCTAAGTAAATTTAATTTTTACATGAAGCCTTGTTCGTGACAGAGACGTAAGTTGAAGTTTTCACTTCACAATTAAAATAAAGCGCAAAGTAAATGTTTTACGGAACTAAAAATATAAAAGGATATTCTTACATCTCTGACGTGCTCTGCAGTAATAAATGTTCGATAATAATCACCCAACCCTTTTTATATTTTCAAGCAAAAATGTAAGGGGCTCGGTATAACAGCCAAACTATACAAATTATTTTAAGCTCTTGCTACATTCTTGCCAAGGGCCACTAAGTCTACACATGTGATATTAACGTTGCATTCAACAAGAAGCGTCAGTTTGCCACATCCTGAAATATCTCTGCCTCTGCAAATCGCCTGAAGATAACCAAGAATAGAAACTAACTCCCCAAGAAAGATCATCACTCAGGACATTCTCGGCGACGCAGGCTTTGCATGGCTGCGGTGATCGCAAAAGGACACGATTTTGTGGGCAAGATTCATGAAGTAGTTTATTAGCGCGACCAGGCCATGTGCCCCCCCCCCCATGGGCTCTTTATATCACCGTGATGAATTGCGTGCGCTTACACCGTTTCTCGTCGTGATAAACACCACAGTTTTCTGATAAATGACCTTGGCTTCATGGCGCTAATTATCGCATGTGACTACATCTTAAATTTACCGAATTTTGTGCTTGAAAGTCGGAGGCTGCGTGGCTCAAAGTGGATAGCATCTTGCGCTGGGTATATCAGAATATTCTTGGCGGCTAGAAACATTACAGAGCTTGATGAACAGACGAGGAAACTTACTTCATTATAAGACGAGTGCCTCAACGCTCGTAAAATGCAATTAAGTAAAATATACTGAATTATGAACAAGGTTGAAGGCAGTATTAACGCCGCAGTTCTCTTGCATACTCAAAATGATTAAAGAAAACAAGTTAAATGTCGATTATATCTCCATAATCGAGACAAAATAGACAATAAATGTTGGTAAGCCTGAGGTCTATTCTCGTAAGCCGTAGAAAGTTGTGACCATTTTCCTTTCATTGTAAATGTGAAGGATCCTTTTCCGCGCCACCGGCCATGAAGGTGTTTAGTGGAATCAGAACCTGGAAATTCCTGTTAACATTCCGCGCTCACAAAAATAAATGGGTCATTTTGTCCAAATACTGACACACTTTCTTAGCAACAGCACGAATAGAGTGCAGACGTTGCACTGATACGTATACATTCAACGGGCTAAAATAGGTCAGGATGGCCCACATAAAGGCATAATGTGCCTCGATGTTTGTACAAAGTCCCACTCATTTCTATGAGTGCGTGGTGATTACGAGCGTCAGCTAACTGGTCCGAGGCTCCTTGCAAGGGCCCAAGCAGGCCGTTCTAGGCCCATTCGCAGCATCTGTACTTAAGCCTTCAAAAATTGGTCTCTTTTGTTGTCGTTTTATGGCCCCTCTGTGGAGATTATAGCCCTCCTTCAGACGATAATATTTTAGAGTTTGGGGCTCTTGTCATTTAATTTTTAGTGAATTTTGCCCTCAACGGAGTGGACAAAAGTTTTCAAACAAATTGAATTGTCGTATTATGACATATTCATTACTGAGTCTCAAGACGCTCATGTGTACGACTATGGTGAAAACTTGTCCATTCGCATTGCATAAATCGGAGTTATGTTTGCAAGTAGCCTTGAAGTACAGACAAAGCAATAGATCATTCGCAATAAAGTACAAAATATAGTAATATACCACTCAGTCTAACGTTAAAACTTGAAGAGCTTTGAAACGCAGTAGAAATCTGAACTAAATTGTCGGTGCATTTAGCCAGCTTAACATGGTCATTTCCCCATTAAAGGACACTTGATACAAGTTTCATGCACATCCGTGCTACAATATTACACTATTCCAACTTTTGTCGTATTAAAAGCTCATTGACTATCTCAACTTGAGATGCACTTAAACAATCCACGGTTTTTTTTCTTTTTTTTGGGGGGGGGAGGGATAGACAAAGTCCATGTCGAGGGATAGACAAAGTCCTTAACGCTGAAATCATAACTCCCGTATTTAGGACAGGGTTCTTGCAACCACAAAAAGGCCATAGAAGGTAGTAAACTATGAAATAATAAATTATTATTTTATAATCTAATTTTATATTTTATAACTATTCTAATAAAATAGACTTGAAATATTTCCTAAATTGGCAATCTCGTACATAAAGAAGATTATTGTAATAACTGCTCGACATAGCGTTCTCTGAGATAGTGTTGTTCGGCAGTCCCATACGAAAAAAAGTATAAATATGATATCAGAGTATCACTTTAATGCTTTGTATTTGTTAACACAAGTTTATTTCTTATTTTGGAGCTTATTCCGTAAAGGGAAAATGGTCAACATGAAGCAGAGTTTGGTTCGTGGAGAGACTGAGAGACACGACAGAAGTTATGCTCAATCTCGCGCTGTCCATCAGACGATGCATGCTGAAAAAGCGCCTATGTCACTCAGAAGAATAGAGATAAGTTGTCCATATCGCAATTCACTTCTTGCTCTTGTGTTGGCCATCTTGATCCAGTTTTTCCCGGAAAAAAAGCGTTTCAGTGCTACGTATGGAAAGTGTGTCGCTATTTAGATATAGCGTGATCCATTAAATTTTCTGAGTTTACTTCCAGTCCTCGTAAATCGCGTAACCTCGCGCGTTGAATGTCACGTAGGAATAATATAATCGAATTGGATGTCACGTAGGAATAACATAACCGGAAGCGGCGAAAGGTTTTGTTGCTCGTTTGCTGCTTCTTTTACATTATATCCTATAACCTCCCTTACAAATTATTTTAAGGAATAGGAGCGTAATAAAAACCAAACAACAATACTGATAACGGGGGTGAAAATCGCATCTCAGAAAACCTGATTGACCTTATCCCAATGTGCATCACAAATACCGTACTGATCACCCTGACTTATTCAGTAATACCATTACTGGTCATTAGTAACTTTCAATTCGCATCCGAGAGTTGCAAGCCTGAACTTACAATTTAATTCTGCAAATCTATTAATTTTCTAAAGAAATTAGGAGATGGATAATCACTAGAAAGAAATCGAACAGTTTAAGCAATCTTGTTTGTGTCTGCCTGCAAACTTATCAAATAAGGAGTGAATTAAGTTTTCTGTTAGGTACACAGAAATTTGCGCGTGTATTTCAGTAGTATACTTCCGCATTACGTTATCTCTCATTCTTCCTGAGGAAAGCTCAATAATTCCACTATTAGGCATCTTGAATTACTCCTCCAAAGGTACTATAAATTCCTGTTGCTTATCCTTGATTATCTGGTATCTCAAATCCCTCCTCACGTATCTCCTCTCAGGTATCATAAATTCCCCTTACGTACCCCGGATTATCCCTCAGTTATCTCAAATCCCTCCTCACGTATCTCCTCTCAGGTATCTTAAATTCCCCTTGCGTACCCCGGATTATCCCTCAGTTATCTCAAATCCCTCCTCACGTATCTCCTCTCAGGTATCTTAAATTCCCCTTGCGTACCCCGGATCATCCCTCAGTTATCTCAAATCCCTGCTCACGTATCCCCCGTCTCAGGTATCATGGATACGTCGCAAAGACCTGCACGTGCTGACGACAGACACGATGACGTACACAAGTGACGGCCGCTTCAGGGCCGTACACGCGGCAGGCTCGCCGTTCTGGATGCTGGAGATCGACAGCCCGCAGGCTCGGGATGAGGGGGTCTACGAGTGCCAGGTGTCATCCCAGCCTAAGATATACCGACGCTTCCAGCTCCAGGTCACAGGTGAGAACTTCTTCATTGAAAACAGAATTGCCATTATTTTTAGAAATATAATCTAATTTAGTATCTGATTCGATAATCATATAACATAATCTATGTTATTGCCCCTTTGTCAATTGAGAATATCTCAGCCTAAGATATACCGACGCTTCCAGCTGCAGGTCACCGGTGAGAACTTCTTCATTCAACAAAATTGCCATTATTTTTAGAAATATAATCTAATTTGGTGTCTGATTTGATAATCATATAACCTAATCTATGTTATTGGCCCTCTGTTAATTGAGGATATATCAGCCTGGGATGTCATCGTGAATAGCATGCAGAAAGAAAGGAATAGCATTGTCATTGGGTAATACATGCATAAAATATAATTAAATTCTGGATTTTTCATTACTTTGAAGTCCTTATTTCTATCTAAAAATTCTTTTAACCCAAAGATATAATTATGCAATTTTGACATATACTTTATGAAATTTTGACTTATAATTTTATTCGTGATTCTAAGTGAAAATCTCTTTCTATTCATGAAATGTGAAATAACCGGTGGCATCTTCCAGTAAGAGTTTTAAATTTATTTGATTCTTTACGTTAAATTTTGAGTGAATTAAAAGTCATTCTGAATAATTTCACGGCATAAATTAGTCTATTTTTTAGGAATATTCATTATTCTCATTTATATTAGTCGATTTTCAAAAATTGGTACAACATTCGGTCAATGCCTCGCCCCAAAAACGCCTAATATTTCCTATCATGGCAGCAATATAAACGAAGCTCCTTTACGAGAATAAATTTTAAGAAGAAAATTGAACAGGAAGAGATAATTCATGCAATTCTGAAACATTGGTGAGATCCAAGAATTAAATTAAAATTTTGATAAGGAATATAATAAATATTTGACCTTGACCTACCGCGGTCATTCGGCCTAAAATTATAAAACTCAACACGTTTAGAATGCTAATTTGAACTGAGTAATCTTAATTAACCTCAGTGGGAAAGTTAATTCGTAAAAATGCAGATTCAAGCTCCTGAAAGAAGAAAAATCACACTGGGAACACATTTTTTGTCGAGTTTGATCTGCTTATTTTTCACTAATTTATGGCGTCTGAATCCGAAATTAACTTCAGATTTTGTATTTCACGTTGACTTTTTGATCTACATGATATCCACACAAATCACAGAAATCATGCACACGTAGGAACATAAAATAAAAATTTACGAAATACGTATACAATTCAAAAAACATATAGAGTAAATCGAGTTCATATAATCAAAATCGTTTACTTAATGAATTTCCGCTCGCGTATTTCCAAGAAAGTCTTTAACAATATTTCTGAATGCAGACCAAGCATTCCTTTCAATTTCAGACACTGTTACCATCAAATGTTCATTTGCAATAAGATGCCGAATCTGTGGATCATCAAAAACACAGACCTTTATCTTATCAACGGAGAGACTAGGAAATGCCGACGCATGAGACATGAAAAATTTCCTTCAGTTGGCAAAGCTTCTACAAATTGCTACATGAATCCAATTTTACATGCAGATGTGGAAATATTAATGCTATTGCTGTCGACAAGTGTCTGATGTACAATGTTATGATCCTCAGGTCCATTTGACTGCACCCATGCAATGTTGCACACGTACGAGCTCTGCTGTTCCACATAAAAAAAAACAGGGATACTTTTTGTATCCGATTTGTTAACCAAATAAGAGCAGGCCATTTTAGGTCAACACAAATGATCCATTGGCGCATGTCATATTGCAATATATAAATGAGTTTCTTTGTGTTTTCATATTCTTAACGCAAACAAACTGAATGGCCAATTGCAACCGAACAAAATAAATTTCCATTATGGAGGAGAACGCGCATCCATTTCAGTCGCCAATAAATTAATAGTGTCATATAGTTCGAAATTCCCATTTCTTCAATTACAACTTACATTATGAAAATCTTATGAATCCACCATCACTTAGAAAGTACGGTATCGCAGAAATGCCCTTTCTCGTGTTCGAAAATAGGATACCTTGAATCCCTTATCAAGTAAGTTTTTCTCATAGAGTCGTGATGTTAGTCTTGATGCTCTTTTGGATAGTCCTAAATGTCCTACCAAATCATTTAGCTCCTGCTATTAAAATCATTTACGTACGTAGTCACCTTCGTTTCGAAAGCTTCATTATTTTAGAGTATTTCATCTGCATCGTATTCGTATTCCCCTTCTTATAAAGGGGAAATTCATTGAAAACTGGCTCAGGGAATTCCGGCTCAAAGTGGCACTGGACGTATAGCTGACAGTAAACTACTCTATCTTAAATTTGTTTTTCCTGTTATACTCTGATGTTTTCACTATACAAAAGTAACAATTTCTTGCATGATCTTTGGAGCCAAATCATATTTATACGAAATGGAAGTTCAGCAAGTGTTCCCTCAGCCCACATCCGTAAGCCCTCAACGCACTGTTTGCACACTTTATGAGGTGCCGAAGCTTTATCTCAATCACCGAGTTTCACTTTGAAATGTGCAAAATATGCAAACTGATCTTTACCTTACAACAGGGAATGACAAAACTGTCACGAATAATAAATTGCGTCGGCTCATAGAAAAACGAAGAAAACGAACGATAGACGAAAACTACGAACAGTTTTGGAATCAGCAAATCTAATTCTTTAGAGAATAGATAAAGAAATAACACAACATAAATTAAGTTTTAAAAATGCTTTCCAGTGTTATGAGAACCCTTTTCTACAAGTGAAACATAATATTAAATTTAAGCATTTAAAAAGAGTGAGGTCTGGTATCGCCTCTTCGGGAAGCTCATGAAACTACATTTACATTATTATGATAATGTGGCTACTGAGGATTGCAGCCGCACTCAGAGAATTGAAGGGGTCATTGTCCAACTGAAGACTTTTGCCCATGCGTAGGTCTTTCAGACTTTTTCCATTGTTTTTTTTTATTGCCCTTTCTGACTTTTGCCCATGTCGGTCCTTGCTTGAAACTTTTTGCCCTTGTGTGGGGTACTTTCTGACACAGTTTGGACCGACAAAAGAGCGTATCATTGCTACGTACGCTTTCTGTCTGGGCTGCGGTAAAGAAAGTTTGTCTCTACTTGGACAAAATGACCCAGTCATTTATTTTAGTACGTGGGTCGGACTGACGACTGGAACAATGCTTACAGCGCCGCATTTAATTTATTGACTGTCCAAACTACATTTAGTGATAGACACGCAGCCTTTGTTTCGTCATTTAGAAAGGGATTCTGCTACAAGATTTCTAAAATACATGGATAAAATGCGAAAAATTGTTCCTGTTTAGAAATAGAAAAATTTATAGGTGTGCGTTCGCCGAACTTAGCGCAGTGAGGCTCTACATTAGATTAAGGTTTTAGCGGTGTACTTAACTAATACAATCAATGTTGTTCATCAGAACTGTAATAGTAATGCAGATTTGAGGTAAATTTAATTTATTGCTAAAATGTTTGGCGTTTATAGCTTTAACTTACAAGCAGTTCAATGCAGGGCGGGTTGTTCATGCTATTGTTTAAAAGTTTCCGAACGTTCCACCAATCTGCTCTTTTAATGCAGCTTCCTTGAGCGAAAGTTGTTCTGGCATAAAACGACAGAGTTTTGTCCAGTCTAAGTAAGAAATATCACCGCAAAGACCCAAGTTGGCACAGCTCTTCATATCTATTAGACGCGCTCGAGCTTCATGTCCTTACTTCAAAAGAAGGACATTCGCGTGAAATTTCTTCGGTCGTTGTCTCGAGAAATCGAGCAGCGCCACACTCAGAAAAATGAAACTTCTTCCAGACAGTGATGCACATTGTACTTTTTGCGGGTCATCCTGACTCAGTGTAGTTTGAGAGAATGACGTAGCAGTGGTAGACGTAGAAAATGTGTTGTTATTTGGACAATAACACCCATCCATATTTCTGAGTACAGACGAAAACGATGCATTGTTCCAGTGAACCACCGCATGGCTGCCTTCATTGCTTAAATGAGGCCTTGTCCCCCAAGGTTTTTTCCCAGTTCGGCAGTTAAGAGTAGAGTTTTCTCAGCCAAAATTTAAAGGGAGCCGAGAGAGAATCCGGTGATTCGGACTATCAATCGAGGACTTTTTACTGTACGTCGATTGGAGTTTGAGATTTTTCTTGTTTGGAGCGGTCTGAATTAGTTGCGAGAAAATTGAAGCATAAATTTCGGATAAGAAAAATATAAAGGATCCGTGAGGAACACGGATGCATGATATATGCTATATATTTTAAGAATGATAAATAATGAATGAAATTCGAAATTATTTTATCCCGTGTAACATTTATTTGCTTAAAATTATTGTACTGGAATTAGGAAAAATTATTGAAGACTGTAGTAAATATTAGTTGAGCGTTCAAACTTACAAACAAATAAATGAGCTTCTACACGTGCATTTTTAGTGATCGAAATTGGTTTATTTACTATACGATATCTAACACTCAAGGCTCGCTTCTTGAACAATTTTTATGCCTGAATATCAAATAAAATAAATAAATAAATCCTAAATGTTAGAATTACATAAATAAAAACCATATATATAATGAACTCCTCTCGTCTCCCAACAGAACCCAAAGCGAGCATCGTGGGCAGCTCTGAGGTCTTCATGAAGCTCGGCAGCGACATCAACATAACCTGCGTCGTTACGGGCCACACGCCCCCTCTCAACGTCGTGTGGTACCACACCACCACCAATGCTCAGGGTGAGTGCAGAGCCTGTAGCCTACCACTGAGCCTGTAGCCTACCACTGAGCCTGTAGCCTCACACAGAGCCTGTACCCTCACACAGAGCCTGTACCCTCACACAGAGCCTGTAGCCTCAAACAGAGCCTGTAGCCTCACACCGAGCCTATAGCCTACCACTGAGCCTGTAGCCTACCACTGAGCCAGTAGCCTCACACCGAGCCTGTAGCCTCACACCGAGCCTGTAGCCTCACACCGAGCCTGTAGCCTACCACCGAGCCTGTAGCCTCACACCGAGCCTATAGCCTACCACTGAGCCTGTAGCCTCACACAGAGCCTGTAGCCTCACACAGAGCCTGTAGCCTCACACCGAGCCTGTAGCCTCACACCGAGCCTATAGCCTACCACTGAGCCTGTAGCCTACCACTGAGCCTGTAGCCTCACACAGAGCCGGTACCCTCACACAGAGCCTGTAGCCTCACACCGAGCCTGTAGCCTCACACAGAGCCTGTAGCCTCACACCGAGCCTGTAGCCTCACACAGAGCCTGTAGCCTCACCCCTGTCTCTTATACACATCTAGATGTGTATAAGAGACAGGCTCAGGGTGAGTGCATCTTTACGGACCACACGCCCCCTCTCAACGTCGTGTGGTACCACACCACCACCAATGCTCAGGGGGAGTGCATCATAATAGCATTATTATATGCACTATTTCATCACCAACACTAAGGGTGAGTTGAGGATAGTCCTATTTCTGGATAATTTATCTATTATTTGTTATTAATGGATATTTTCAGCTTTACAGGCAAAAAAACTCCAATGCTAAACGCACGACGGAGTCCGCCTAACAAAAATTTTATTTTTTTACGGACAGAAAACTCAAATATTTTTCAAACTTTCATTACGACCTCTAGCATAATATTCAATTCAATTAATCTATATATTTGAGAAGTTTCACACAGCTGTATAGAAGGGAAATTAAATTAAGACATATTTCAAGGCGAACTGAATTCTAGAATGTTGGAATTATAAACCGAAAATAAGATCGTTGGTGTTTTAATGAAGATAACTTTGCGCATGTTTCTCGAATAATTAATTGGAATAAAATTTGGTCTGCAGTACATAAAGTATTCAGTACAAATTAACGACTTCCCAAAAGGACAATTGATATATTCTGCATTACTAACGATAAATAACAGGAATTGAAACCTTAATATGTTGCCCCTTGAATGATCAGTCAATTGATGATATATCAAATGCGCTGGTCAATTAATATCGGGAGCTTTCATTCACTTAAGCGCTATTCACACATCGTTCACTTCAAAGGAACTCGACAAATCAAAGAAGCCTTGAAATTGACAAGGCAAAAAATCGCACCGAGATTTTCGGTTTGAAGCTGACATGAGGGAAAAGTTAAAAGATCCCGAGCTCGCGTTTCGCGTTCACAAAAGATCCGATGTTGGTAGGGGCACGCAAACTCGAGTCACTTCCAGGCAGAAAAAAAACTTTTTTTCGTGAGTTCGGGTGAAGTGTTTGAGTGAAGGGGTTGGTAAGTAGCGACTGCATTCAAAGCGAGACTTCTTAAAATTTCAAAAGAATCCTTGAATCCAGCAGGACCTCCCTGACCACAATCACAGGGACAAAAACCGGTTTGAGTTTTTATCCGGGAGTAAGCGTCCGGAGGATAAAGATGGTAAGCGGTGCTCAGTTTTGAGTCTCAACTGCTCGGTCTCAGATGGCGCACGGTTCTCAGAAAGGAAGAAAATGCCATGAAGAATTTTGAGACGTAAAAGCCTCGTCCCCCGCGCGAGGCGCGTTGAAAGCTTAATTCCTTCCCTTGAATGCGGAGTCACTCAATTTGTTTGAAAATGGGAACTTTCGTGTGGATCCTATGTAAGAAGAAGACTACTTTGCACTATCAAATAACTTTTACAAAACATTTGTGTGATTAGCTGCAAATGATAATTTACTGGAAAAAATGGCATGTATGAGCGGCAGTTCACGAGGTAATGCCATTGCACTCACTGATGATCCTTCTAATTTCTTCTCAAGAGGTTAACCCAAACGAATAACATAGCTGTGGCCCCGTGCATTCTGCTTCCGAGGGCCAATATTCCCTTAATATTTGTCATATTGCATTACAAGTGAGGCGGTGCGGATGGATACCACAACAAGGGTTCTGATGTCATGGACCATCCGACCAGATATCTGACGTTGAAATAACGTTGAACAAACGTTGATTAATTAAACGTGTTAACTCGCTATCATCGTTATTTAAACGTCATTTACCAGAAACAATTATCCCAATTGTGCATTGGTGTGAAATTGCCCGGCAAGTTAGACATGACCAATATTACTCATGTAGCCACGGACCAATTTAATTTCGCGATAATTCATCGGTGTAACACACTACCGGGCAGGTGAAGTGGTAAGGACGGAGATCACGACAGGAGACAGGGGCGGAGTGCAGCTCGTGACTGACAGGAAGCAAGGCACCAGTTGGCTGCTGGTGGACCGAGCCAGCAAACCTGACGCTGGTAACTACACCTGCGCCCCTCCTCATACTGTGCCTGCTCATGTCACCGTGCACGTCATACAAGGTGATCATCATACTCGTATCTAAGTTACTCATTACTTGAATTACCTCATGGTAATTTCATTTATTATGCAAGGAGTTGAAAATATAGGCATGAAATTCCTCGATGTCACCTTCACCGTGCACGCCATGCAAGATGATGATGTCCTGGTCTTCGGGTTACTCATTCTTGAATGAGTAGTTGTTGTAGTTCATTGAACCTTTCCCTTTGTTATTTTGAGAAAAATAACAGAGGGACTATTTTGCACTATTTTTTTAAATAAAATAACATCATGCACTGAATGAAATATATACGTACGTAACTGCAAGTCTAGGTCACTTTACACGTTATACAAGGCGATGATCCTCGTAATTAAGTTAATCATTCCTTGAGTATAGTAATTTCCCGTAATGTGGTAACTCATAAACCACTGAATTGAAAGTATATGCACGAAGTTACACCACGCCATATCTTCACTAACCCCATAAACAAAGTCATCATCCTCGACATCAATTAACACATTCGAGTGTCTCATTATTTTCCTCTATACATCATTCAATGACTAAAAAATATACATTTATCAAGAGATAAAACATATACAAGTCGCCATCACTGTGAAAAATCGTGTAAGCTGATCAAAATGGCGGCATAGAGAATCGCCAATATTGTCACTAATGTCAGTAAACAAAATACCGTTTATTTTTGATAAAATCAAACACTTGGTGTGAAAGTAATTAAAAAAGATTCGAATTTGTCCTAATAAGATACTTATCGCAAATCGATTTTAGGCTTATAATTTGAACAGATATATGAAAAAAACTGATTATTTACTGATAAGAAGTTGTATTTAACATGGTCATCATGTCAATATTCAGGCAGAATTAAAGTGCGTTTTAATTTTTATTACGACTGCCAATTAATATACTGAAGATACAACCCACGAGAAATCTGACGTTGAAATAACGTTTATTAAACGTGTTTTGAACAAAATCAACTCGCAATAAACGTTTCAGCGTCGTTCGCCTAGATAGAACATCTTTGTTGTTCAAACTTGACTGCAAATGTTAAGCAAGTTTTACAATTTGTTTTGCCCCGAAGGGGATTAAATCGAGCATTCCAGAATATTCTATTGCGCATTACAGCAGAAAATCATTTTAACAAACGAACGAAGAAATTAATTGGCTTTATTGTCGAGCCTAGCAGCAGAAAAAGAAGCAATTGACTATGATTTGTTCGATTGCGGCTTATTAGTTCTGAAGTAAGAACAAGGGTTTGATCATGAATAAAAAGTTTCGACCAATTCCACCATGAAAAATATAATTGTTAATTTTTTTGCTAAATGATTTTAATTTCATGTTTTTTCAAGGCGCCCATTATTTCTACAAAAAAAATTCTCTGAACGCATCTTGAAAATTTGAGCGAATTATAATGGAATGAAATTCGGCTAAATATAAAAGCCCTGTTCCCTACTTTCACGTGCAAAAACGATTTCCATTTCAGTGCTCGTACTTTATATAGTCGGAGATGTTACATAAACGATCATTTCTTCTTCCTCCCACCCCACAGCTACCGTAATTTTCATGTTACAGAACATATAGGGACGTTTCTTTGCGACTATTATAGCTGTTTATATATATGATCTCTATATTTCATGCATTTCACTATGAATCGCGATAATAAATTTGATCTCTATGCTGAATTTCACAGCTTAATGACAATTATTCGTGTCCTCCCCTATGAATTTGAGCTAAAAAAGTTGACCTCAATACTTGGTGCTTCTCCCTCTGAATTCCACAGTTCAATCACCAAGTTCCATGTATTTTGCTCAGAATTTGAGCTGAAAAAGTTGACCTCAATGTTTGATGCTTCTCCCTCTAAATTCCACAGTTCAATCACCAAGTTCCATGCATTTTGCTCAGAATTTGAGCTGAGAAAGTTGATGACAATTTTCCTTCCCTCAGCCGAAGAAGCGCCGGCGGCCATGACACCCGAGCTTGCCAATGGCGGGTCTTCGCTATGGCGGCGCGGGAGCTTCTATGTGAAACTCTACCCTGCAGGCGCCCGTCTTTTATATACCAGCACAAAATGCGTGGTTTTCAAGACCGACAGACCAGAATTCCGTGCTCCCTTCAATTATAACAATTTCAAGTCGAAATCTTGCTCCTGTTCAGCTTCTGAGCTATTCTGTTCCCTAGACGATGTCTTGGGTAGAACACGAAACTTGATATTTCACATACTCGAAGTTCTTATTCATTCTTCAGTTGTTATTTTGTCGTCTCAGTTGTGGCTTGTGGTGGCGGTAGGGGGCGCTGTTAACGCGATGCTCACGCGTGTACAGTTTCAACAACATCCTGCTCCTCATGTCACGGAATTTAAAATATTCCTGCAGACGAATTCCAACAAACAAAAGCAGATCAAAGTAAATCATCACAGTTTGCAGCAGGATAATAATTCAAGATGTTATTCTAAATTCGTGAATAAGTTTATCGAAAATTTCAACGAAATATCGAATAAGTTCAAATTTCAATTTAGCTGCAACAATGTACATGGTGTGATGTCATTGTTGGAAATTGTACATTTTTCAAAATTGCCAAGAAAAAAACATGACTTTTGCAGCTTTTCGAAAGCTTGAATGCTGTTTTTTCAACTGCAGTCAATTATAAAACTTTCATTCGCGCGTGAAGAATAGCTTATTCGCGCTGCTTTGAATCAATCAATTCGCGCTGGTTTGAATCAATCAAATATTTACTTCTGTATTTTCTCCAGTTACGTTTTATCCATATGTACCACATTCAACATAGGTTTCGAACCAGAAAATGCATCTCGTCAGGCCTCTGCATCATTTAGTTTCACGTCCGCTTTCCGGTGACTGCTCGAGGGTGCAGGAATGATTGGGACGTCGATTCGGTGATACCATTGCAGGGAGCACCCAGCAAAATACATGGGTCATATTGTCCAAATAGTGACCTTCTTACTCCATGATAAGCAGAGAACAGATATGTCTTTTTTCGGGCAAAACAACGTCAGTATGACCAACACTGGGGGCTGAAAAGCGCGTTGCTATTTGAACAAAAATTACTTATTTTTCTGAGCGAGCTCTTGTATTTTCTTCATTGAATTATATGTGTCATTAGAGTATATTTACAGTGATCAAGAAATATTTAACCATCATTGAGTTCGTGATTATCGTGTGAGCTGATAAATTTGAACCTGAAAATGTATTATGTTTGTAAAGATCTCGAAATTTAGTTCATTCTAAATTTCAAATTTTGCGTAATACGTTTCCTAATGATATCAAGTAATATCATTTCTTTTGCTTTGCTTATTGCGGCTCTGAAATTCCGTTAATTAAATCATGCACAAGACAGTGAGATTAAATTATTCGTAACTTTCTTTTAGAGACCAATTTTATTTAAGGCACAATACATTTTTATGGTAATCATTGCTTTAAAAAGTTTCACTTTTACCCTTTGAAAAGATTGGCCGTGATTTTTTGATATAGACATGTGATGTTTCTCTATATTTGTACATAGGTACTAAGTAGTTGAAATGAAAGGTAATTAAAATATCTCAACGTAATTGTAACAAGTTTCCTTGTCCTATCATTTAGTATTACTAACCAAAGTAATTGTGAAGACAACTAACATAATTAGTAACTATGGAGCATAAATAGTGCTATATACGATTCATTAGTTAAGATTTTATTATTCACCAGACAAGGCAATATAGTTGCTTATCAAATGAGGCATAATAAACAGGAAAATACTAAAATTTAAATGTTTTAATGCTAATCTTACGCAGATCAACTCTGAACGTCGTGTCTCATTATTGAAGAAACATTAACTCAGAGCTAAGATTGGGCTGGCTCTCTGTGAAACCAAAACTTGAATAGAACCATTAACACACGCGGCTCGGCTGGTCTCGATTGAAGCCACAAGTTGCCGGGCAAGTTTACAGCAGCAAACGACACGCAAGCACTACAGGAACTACACCCAGAAAAATTGATATGTTGTATTTTCAAAATTCTGACACATTCCAACTGCCATCACAGGTAGCGAGTGAACTCAGCTCTGATACTCCCTTTTGACGGGCCAAACTTGGTCAGGATGACCCACAAAGGTGAAAATGGCATTATTTGAACAAAGTCTCGCACATTTCTGTGAGTGCAGATCGCCAAATCGTGACTTCAGACAACAATAACAATTGTGCGCGAGACTTAATCTAAAATCAGCGCCAGCCGCAATTCCTGTTATGACTCCACGTTGCAATTGCCAATTCATTTCAGTGGCTTCCGGACACCGATTGCGACAGAGACGAGGGGCTGTATTGAATGCGGCTTTAGTGGCATTGCCGAGGTAATTTCCAGTTATTCACGCTAGGTATGGCAGTGCTGGAGAAGACCGCGCTTGGTATTGATACAGAGGGCCAATTTTAGCTTGTAGCTGCGAATTTTTATCACCGATGCCATTATTGTTTAATTTCGAAAGCTATACGACGAGCGCAGTTATTATCCTCTGGTAGCACCACGTGCGATTTTAACTTTGGTTCCAAGCTAAGCATGTATTTCCCATGGGTATCATGAAGGAGTCGAGCTCACACTAAGTTTAGTAAGGGAGCAGGCAAGTATGACCGAGGCCAAGGATATAGATTTTGGAGCCAAATTTCTCCACAATCAAAGCCAAGATCTGAGGCGAAATTAAAGCTGAGATCTGAGAAGTAGAGAGATCTGATAGTCCGTTTGATACCAATGCACTGTTTGAAGAATTCATCAAATAAATATGCTGAATATATAAATAAACATACTATTAAGTAATTTCCAAACGACAGCTTCCGAAAATAAGCGAATTAATTCACAACGGAAAAGAAAGTACGATTCTGGTTAATATTTAACTCAAGGCAAAATTTTTGCGTTGGTTGGATCTAACGCAAAGTATTTGTAGGATTTCACGCATACGAATAAAGAACCAAAGAATATTTCTTGTCAAATTGTAACATTAATGAAGTTACAGCGTTGGCGATCCGTAAACGAACGTTCATTGATGTTGACATTTCCAAAATAGGAAGTTTTTGCCATTTTTTTGGACAGTTTATGCCGTTTTCATGTCAGGACACGACACGGCTCGAATATTCCCTTAACGGTCTCAAATAAAACAAAGATTTCAATTCACTTATAGTGCTTTTTTACCCTGGTTTTTCACGAGCAATGCGCAGACACATTTTTTATTGAATATTCTGCGCATTTGCGCAGCCATCGCAAGGTTGAAATGGAATCAAACACACAACGTATATACAGATGCTTTACGTGATAAAGCCTTTCAATTTTCATTTCAAGCCAAACTTTCACTGTGAATTTCGTGCAATTAATTTACAATTACTCGTCAGGTTTTCGAATCAATTATACAATTAAAACCTTATAGGTAAATTCGGGTTGGCAAACCCTGAGTTTAATTGGTTTAAAACGAATCGCAAAGTTCAGTTACAGCGTGCACTAAATATTAATTGCCAACTGGGCAGCTGAATCGGAGCTAAAATGAATGCGGCTCTAGTGAAAATTCATATCGTTTCAGAAAAAGTAATATTGCGGAAAGTCAACGAACAAATTGGTGACCATGGTATGGCGCTACAAAGTGCTCAGGGAGAAAACAATTTTGAATGTTCACTCTTTAATCCTTTGAAGTTTAAATTCTTTCACGATGATTCTGTGTTTTTCGGTTAAAAAGAATTATTTTTGTGTTACTGGAACTAACGCAGAATTTCCATTCCCATCACCGTATTCCATTCAAGAGAAATGATTACTTGAGAAGAAAAACGACAGCTACTGTTACGTCAAATGCGCGCGAATACACAAGCTAAAGTTCGTTTTTCCGAACAAAATAATGCACACATTCCCATCTAATACTTCGATCGCCTTTAGAATAGTTCTTTCAAGACTCACCAAAGGTATTAATGTTGTTGCATATGGCAAGCTCCTCGACAACACAAAAGTGATTGCCGCAAGCTTAGGGCAGAGCTACACACAATAATATAAATGTCATATTGTCGAAATATTGATGCACTTTCTTACGCGCAGCACGAGCAGAGAGTGGACGTAGCACTGATACGCCTTTTTTCCCAGCCAACTGGATCAGGATGACCCACGAAAAGTCAAAAAGTGTATCACTATTTTGACAAAGCCTCACTCATTTCTCTGTGAAGGTATAGAGCGCTTCTGAAAGCATGCACCGGCATAATCCATCGAACGCTCGCCCAAGGAAATAGCAGTTGTCAGAAGTGCGTATCTGCATATTTCCTGCAGCATTGTCAGCACGGAACCTTTCGAGCCAACGTGGAATGCCAAACAAATGATCAACAAGGCTTGAATCCGCGCAAAATCGACCATGCGGAAATTTCTCCAGGCTTTGTCGAGAGATGATGATGAATGCGCGGCCAAATGATTAAGCTGGCACTTGGGACCGTCCGGGAGATAGAGATGTTGGTGAGCTCGCTGGAGCATGGAGCTGCAGTCTGTAGCACTCAAAGAAATCAATGAGATTTTGGCTAAGAAACGATGCGATTTTTGCTCATGAGTGGGTTATTTTGACCTCCCATTTTTGCCTTGCAAAAGAGCTTATCACTTCTACGTCAGCTCTCTGCTCGTGAGTAAAACATAAGACGCTATTTAGACGCTGTGAGCCATTTATTCTTCTGAGTGCGGACTGCATGTTTAATTTTTAGACATGGAATTAATTCACTTCAGAATCTAGCGCTATATTGAAATTGAAATTGAGAGCAACTGTTTCTCTCCGTTGTTTTGCTAAACTTTAAAATCATTCAGGGTAAGATAAAAATATAGTAGAAGCATTACAACGTAAAGTATATTTCTGAAAAATTCAAACAAAGGATTTTTCAGCTCTAAAAATAACTCAAACGACATAATTCGAAATTTATGAATAGTCTTTGAGTAAAAATATTATAATTAGTGAATCATGTTTCAAAACTCTTATTCAAAGATATATTGTATTCCGGGGAGTTGTCAATCAAAGTGTAAATCAACCTATGAATTTAATTTATTTTTAAAAGAACAATAATTCTACCTCAAACGTCGTATTACGAAATGTAAATAGAGTTGCTACAGATCTGAATTGAAGGTCAAGGTCAGAGCGAATAGCTTCAACGCATAGTGGCAATGGAAGCTCTGAGTGGAGCGAGTTGTGACTTTAATTTAAACTCAAATAGCCATTCAGACTGCGAAATTCACACGTTCAAGATATGTTCAGGGTAAAGGAATTTATTCAATGTTCAAAGCGCCCATTGAAGGTAAATTTAAATTATTGTGTTTACCTTGAACAGAGAATAAATTGAAGTATTTGAAAACACAGTATATATGTTCTTCCAACTTACCTAAAAGCCGAGCTCTATTGTTTTCGCCATGTTAAGACATTATGACATTACGATCGACTGAATATCTTTAAGGTGGATAAAAAAATTCCTAAATGAATCTCCGGGAGAGTCAATATTGGTTATCTTATATCGTACGTATGAAGACTGCTGTTTGACCTTGCGGTCGTTTAATCAAAAATAGTTACGCGTTTACAATCACGTCAGCAAATCGTTGGCGGCTTTCAAGCTAAATCAACCAGTGAGAGACAAAAAATTGGCTGCTAAGTGCACTAAGTGCAACTACGCTAGGTGTAGTTGCAACGCTACGCGTACTTGGACCGCAACGTGTACTTAGGCCGTTTCGCGTACTAGACCGCTACATGAACCTAGGCCGTTACGTGTACTAGGAAAGCTACGTCAACCTAGAGAGCTACGTGTACTTAAGCCGTTATGCGTACTGGACCGCTACATGTATCTAGGCCGTTTCGTGTACTTGAAAGCTACGTCAACCTAGACTGCTACGTGTACTTCGGCCGCTGCGTGTACTTAGCCGAGTTTCGACGGTACGGCCCCTATATTAGTGTATGCTGCTCTCATGCTACGACTCTCTTCCATCATGCACAAGCTCCGAGGCTTTTGTGGCAGTTAAGTGTATCTCCCAGAAAAAGCGGCTTGCTGTTGACTAACAGAGGTCATCAACAGTAATCCAGGGCAAAGTTTGTGACCGAAACCTGCATTTTGCCGCCCAACTTTGCCCTGACTTCTTATAGTGTTGAATCAAGTTCGGACCGAGCCAGGCAGCGTGAAGCGAAACTCAGACTGCCGGAAGAAAGCTCCTGTGAGTTTGGAACGCTCAAGATGTTCGGAAGACTGTGAATATTTTTCGTTACATGGGGATAGTTTAGTGGCATCTAAGTGAGCAAGTACGGAAATTTAAAGGGCTAATTTGTTAGTTAATGGGCAACAAAAATAAAATAAAAATGTTGACGGGATGTTTGCTGTGGTTAAGATTAGAATTTTATATTATCGTAAGATGGCTTACGTCTGTGCCTCAAGGAACTATCTTGTGAAATAAAAACCATATTCCGATAAGTGAAATTGAAAATAATATGCGGCAGTTGGTCTGAGATAGAAGTAAATTTTTACGTACGCCGGGAAAATTAGTCCGTAACTTGGAATGAAATTTCTTTCCTGAATAATTTAGTTAATGTTCATGTTCATGA